CCCCCCCCCAAAAACCCTCCAAACTCACCAGCTCCTGCAGTGGCCTTGGGGCTTTGTGGGGCTTGTGTAGAGCCCCCCACACACAGTGGGGGGCAGTGAGGTTCGTCCCCTGCTGGGCAGGAACTGGTAAGTCTGGGATTTATTTTTTCCTTAAAAGGCCAGAGGTGGGGCAGGTGGGGCAGCTATGGGGGTGCTGGGACAGCAGGGCGGGGGCTCAGGGGGCTCATGACAAAGCCCTCCACACAGCATGGGGCAGTGGAAGGCAGCAGGGATCGCCCCCAACAGGGCAGCACCCGGTGAGTCAGGGCTTTTTTTTTCAAAGTGCTGGGAGCTGGGGCAGGGCGGGGCAGCCATTGCCAGGCCGGGAGAGGAGGTGTGGGATGGGCCTGGGTGATTCGAGATTCAGAGATTTGGCACCAGCCAAATCTTGAAATCAGATTTGGCCGAATCAATTCGGGACAGTGATTCGAATCACTGAATCGAATTACTGTCCCCCGAACTGGCTGAATCCAAAGCGAATACTAGCCACTTCGCACAGGCTTAATAATTACTGACTTCAGTAGAGTTACTTTGGTTTCACAGCGTGAAAATGACATCTGAGGCTAGGTACAGACATTTGGAGAGGTTAGGGGGAAGTTAGACTGCATTAAAAATGGCCACCCGATATAACGTAATTCACTCAGGTGTGCACCTCACACTTAGACTGACCTAACTAGGGATCTAAGTGTGAACTGTACAGAAGTTCAGAAAGTTTAGATCAGTCTAAAAATGGCCAATCTGATCTAAGTTAACTCTACCTCAGATGCAGTTTAACTTAGATCAAGCCCAGCAAGACCAAACTAATTAAGCTTCTGTATAGTTCCCAACATAGCCCTGGGGCTGAGAAAGCCCAGCTGCTGGCCCCAGCCCTAGGGCTGTGCTTTTCCTACCTGCTCCCCTGGCACTGAGATATTTTTAGTTCCCCAGCCGCCTCCTTCAGATGAACAACCCTTATCTGCAGTCCAGCCAGCCCCCGCAAGCCTGCCAAACCCCCACCCCACAAGCTGTTCCTGGTGCTGGGAACTGATTGAAGTAAGTTGGGGTAGGGGGACACGCAGGCAGAAATGGGCGGGTAGGTTCATGAGCAGGGGCTATCCATCTAGGGGTGCGGGACCAGGTGCTAAAAATAGCCCCTACCCTGTAGGAGGGAGATAAAGAATCCCCCCACCCCCAAGGCGCACTGCAGATCCCACTAGTCCCCCCTGATCTCACCACACCCTCCAGGACCCCACCAACCCACCCCTCATAGACCTCACTAGCTACCTCCCCCACTTCAAGCCCCTTGTAGATGCTGCTTCTCCTCCTGATTCCACCAAGCCCTCCCAGTTCCCACCAACCCCCAGCTGTGGACCCCACTAACCTTCCCAATCCCCTCAAGCTTCCCTGCTAGCCCTCCCATCCTGATTCACTTTAGATTGTGTCCATTTTTAACTTAATCTAACCTCCGTGTCTGGGAAGCTTCCATTCCTCCAAACTCCTGCCTGTGATGGCATATGCATCGAAGGTCTGGGTGACCTGTCATGCATACACCATGATCTGGAAGGATCGACGGTTGCCAAGGACTCTCTCATGGTGCAACTTCCCCATAACTTCCCTGAATATCTGTATGTACCCTGAATGTGTCACAGCTTCTACAACTACTGTGAAAGGTACACTATGCTACAGAGTTATGGTTTGGGCAAGGTAAGTTAAAGAATAGTGATTAATGTCATACATATTGATACAAAATACTGTAGTATTTACTGTTCATACTTGAGAATGAGTTACAGTTGTGGAAACGATATAATACATTTCTGAAGTTTCATATAATAATTTTAACCATAATATTGCATTAACATTGCTTTTGTAGGTTACACTTACTGCAATTTACCTGAAATAGGGGGTAAGGTCTATAGGTTCCCATTCTTTTTGCTGAACTTGTGAGACTGGATCAGCAGGTGCTGGTGATGATTTTTTTTCAGGCACAGGAGAAACTGCACCTGAAATAGAAACTTATCTGTTTTTTTTTTGGCAGGAGGGTTTTGTTTCATTTCCTTATAACATTGTTTCCTCCTCTTATTAAAGTTTGAGCAGGAGAACAATTGAGATTTAACTACTATTCCTAATAGTATCATTATAGACTCACAGAAATTGGAAAGTACCATACATGTATCCATTTGAGGCATAAACGTAGGAAAACCTATTTTATTCAGGAAGGATAATGAGTATAGGCATTTTAACAATTTATTATTTATCCCTAAAAGAGCTGAACACATGGCTTTTTACAGTGAGTCAGTGTACTCTTCAAACATCTCTCAATTAAATCGTGGATGAATAATTTTTGCTATGGCTAAAAAAAAGACATCTCTGGGAAGAGATGAAGTTAGGAAAACACCAGCCTCAAAGGGAAAAGTGTCCACTAATACTGAGGGTTATGACAGAAACAATTTTTCAAACCTTTACTATATTGGTAATGTTGAAAGAATGTCATAATACTGTAAGTAGTGAAGGCTCCAAAGCAAAAATCTAAGGCTAAAATAAATGTGGGATATAGTGAAGAAGAGGAGTCAAGACCAGTCAGATTTCAGTTTCACAGTTGATCCTTCTTGCACAGTCATGCAGCTCATTCCTAAGCCTGAGCACTCCCAACACGTGGGCTATTGAGATCTCAATTTGACCCCTCTCTAAATTAGTAAATTATGGTATTTTATGGTAAATTTAATTAGTTTCTAGACATAAGATATAATAATCATAGTTTTATAGAAACAATATCATTATCTGATTTATTACAGCAAGGAATGAAAAGATATTTTCTACAATCATAGAAAAATAGGTCTGGAAGAGATCGCAAGAAGTCATTCAGTTCAAACCCTTGTTCAAGTCAGAATCATCCCTGCCTAAACCATCCAATTCAAGTGTTTGTCTAACCTGCTCTTAAACACTTCCGGAGAGAGAGATTTCTTTGTTTCTGGGCAATCTGTTCCAGCGTTTAACCAGCTTTATGATAAGAAAGTTTTTTCTGAATACTAATCTAAATTTCTGTTATTGCAATTTAAGATGGTTATTTCTTGTCCTGTCCCTTTGAGCACAGAGATTAAACTATGAGCTAAAGAGTGCTCTGATGATTTTGGGAACTAGGAGATGCAGTTTCAGTTCTCTTGTGGGTGAGGTCTACTACTCACTGGGGAAATTCCCGAGCTAGTGGACTGAAAGGTGGAAGTTCCTTCATCTTTCTCCCCTTGCTAGTCATGTTTATTAGGGCTGTGTGAAGCTTCGGTCCCTGATTTGATTTGGCAGAGATTCGGTGGCCGAATCTCCAAATACGAATCGAATCAGGAGACCCTTTAATCTCCACGAATTGAATTGGAACCCTTTGAATTGATTTGAACTGATTTGGAGAGATTTGGAAAGGTTCAATGATTCGGACATAGACACAGCTTTTAATATTTTTTCTACATACCTCAAGGTACCAGGTAGCTCGTGAATACTGAGATGCTGGGGCAGATGGAGCATCCCACAGGAGTGTGGGGGGCTCCCCAGCGTGCTTGGCAGCAGACCCAGAAGTGGACCAGAAGCACTTCTGGTCCACTTGCAAGTCTACCAGGGAGCACGCTGGGCACTCCCCTCTCCTGCTTGGCGACTGGAGCCTTCTGGGTCAGGGCACCCAGAGTCCTCCTGTGGCTGATTGCCGAGCCAGGGGGAGGGTGAGGGCACGCAGGGAAGCCCCCCAGTGCACTCGGCAGTGGACCTAGAAGCAGATTGGAAGTACTTCCAGTCCGCTTCCAGGTTCATCACCGAACACACAGGGTGCCCCCGCGCTCCTGTGGGATGCTGCATCCACCCCAGCATTGCAGCATTCACGAGCCGCAGCTGGTACGTTGAGGTATGTAGAAAAAACATTTAAAGCTGTGTCTATGGCTGAGTCACTGATTCTCTGAAACAGCATTGAATCTTCAGGTTCAGATTTGGCCAAATCAAATTGGGGACAGTGATCCGAACCAACAAATCAAATCACTGTCCCCGATTTGGGCCGAATCTGAATCCAAATCGAACATGGCCTGTTTCGTTCAACCCTAGCGTTTATTCTGTGACTGTCATTTCAGTATTTACACTGTTACATGCATGCCTCGATGATTTTATTCCCCCAGGGCTCCTACAGAACCAGAGTGCAGCCTACTGAGCATACTCAGGGAGCAAGGGCAGGGAGAGCATAGCTATGTGGAATGAAAAGCTGCCACTGCATAATTCAAGATTGTAAGGTATATGTCCTACAACCTAAGCTAAAAGGAAATAAGAACTCCCAAATGTTTCATCTTAATTTGCAATGCAAGAAGTAGTTAGTGCAGTGGATGCATACAGAACAAGGTATATTGGAGTACATTTTCTGCTTTAAGTTCTGAAACATGGAATAAGAATTACTTAGCTGTTTGAAAATGCACTTGTGCTAATGGTTTCAGGAATGGGACAATTCTCACATGTGTTAGTCACAAATTCAAGTTTCAGCCACATTATAGTTACCAAAAGTTGTTACACTCAGTATTAGTCTATTGTGTTGTGGTCTCAGTATTGTTAATTGCTAAGAATAATGCAGCTGAAAAGTGAGACAATAAAAAGCCTTTCATCACAATTTCACCCATGTTGTAATTTCCATTTGAGGACAAGCACTGGTAGGAAATGCAAACTGAACTACCCCTAGAAATACTTCCAGTTAAATAAAATTGGATGATATTTATGGATGCTTGTGCCACTGCTGTACATGCTGTCCTGTTCCTTGGCCTTAGAACTTCATCTTCCAGAACTGTCAATCTGGTACTTTTCATAAGCAGTAGAATAAAAAGGGAAAATGAACATCAAGTGATATTAATGTCCTAGAACCTTCGTGAATATTTCAGCTTCTGTATTAATTTTTAATTTCTACAGCTATGACCTCTAACATCAAACTTTGAATCAAGAAAGAAAGCACTTCTGCACCAAACACATAAAATGAACTTCTGAAGTGTTTATTAGTCATTGAAATCAATGTTAAGATTACAATTCCAGTGCAGGGTTCTGACAAACTTTCCTCAATCAAAAGCAAGTTTCAAACTGCCAGAAGCAAGTTATGTCTGAGAGCATAACATCAGAATGATTCAAATATTTAAAAATCACTGAGGTTATCCACAAAGGCTAAATATCCCAGTCTGCATTGGTCAGAGCCATGTTCTCCAACTGATAAGCATTTAATGAGAAAGGCAGTTCATAATAGTCACTGCTGCAGTATTTAATCTCCATAGATCATGTACCTTCATTAAAACCTAAGGCATACGTGGGCTATATTGTGTTTACCTGAATACCACACAGACACACACACCTTTTCCCCAAAAATTAGCCCCCCAAAACTGGGGTGTGTTTTTGAAGTGGAGAAGCTGATTTTCTGCCTAGAACAGAAGCACCCTACTTTGATTCTTGCTCGCAGAAGCAGTGGCATTTTTATTCAGGGAGCTGTGGGAATCAATTGGCTTAATGGCTCCATGTTCTTCACTCCACAGGTGTTAATGATGGTCTCTCCTTTTAAATGTTCTTGATGTTCCAATAATCAAGTTCAAGCAATTTTGCTGCATTTTAGTTACTCCTGGTCTCTCTCCTCCTATTTCACAGCCTTACAGACTGTTCTTAGCTCTTTTCAAAATCACAGATCCACCTGTAGAGAACATTCTTCAGCAGCAGCTACAGTTTCAGCTTCTGGTAAGCAGGAAAGGTAGGGTGAGTTATGTACCATAACTCTGGAAAAATATTTTTCTGCATTCCGTGTTCCCCAAAACAAGGTGTTTGTCTTTCTTGAGGGCATGTGGGATGCAAGGAAAAACACTGCTTTAGGGCTCACACCTATTTTTAAGTGACTTATAGACTTTTAATTTCTATATAATATCTTCTCTAAGTATATATAAAATGGACACTCTTGCAGGGAAAAAGA